GGCCCCGAGGAAGCCCCAGCTCAGCGCGGCCAACTTCGCTTGTCCCAAGGCACCCCAGCTCAGTGCGGCATATTCTGCTGCCCCGAGGCACCCCAGCTCAGTGCGGCACCCCCTGCTGCCCAAGGGAGGCACCCCAGCTCAGTACGGCAGCTTCTGCTGCCCCAGGGCATCCCAGCTCAGTGCGGCAACTTCTTTTGCCCCAAGGCACCCCAGCTCAGTGCGGCAATTTCTGTTGCCCCAGGGTGCCCCAGCTCAGTGCGGCAACTTCTGCTGCCTCAAGACACCCCAGCTCAGCGCGGCAACTTCTGCTGTCCCAAGGCGCCCCAACCGAATGCGACATCTTCTGCTGTTGTCCCAAGGCACACCAGCTCAGTGCGGCAACTTCTTCTTCCCCATGGCACCCCAACTCAACGCGGGACCTCCTGCTGCCCCAAGACAGCCCCAGCTCAGTGCGGCAACCTCTTCTGTTCCAAGGCAGCACAGCTCAATGCGGCAACTTCTGCTGTCCCAAGGCACCCCAGCTCAGTGCGGCAACTTCTTCTGGCCCAAGGCACCTCAGCTCAGCGCGGTAACTTCTGCTGTCGCAAGGCACCCCCAGATCAGTGCAACAACCTCTTCTGGTCCAATTCACTTCAGCACAGTGCGGCAGCACAGTACGGCATATTCTGTTGCCCCAAGGCACCACAGCTCGGCGCGGCACTTTCTCCTGCCCCAGTGCGCCCCAGCTCTGCGGCAACTTCTGCTGCCCCATGCGCACCGCCGCTCAGTGCGGCAACGTCTGCTGTCCCAAGGCACCCCAACCCAATGCGGCATCTTCTGCTGTCCAAGAGAAACCCTAGCTCAGCGCGGTCAGCTTCTTCTTTCCCAAGGCGCCCCAGCTCAGCGCGGCAACTTCTGCTGCCCATGGGGGAGGCACCCCAGCTCAGTGCGGCATCTTCTGCTGTCCCAAGGCACCCCAGCTCAGTGCGGCATATTCTGCTGCCCCGAGGCACCCCAGCTCAGTGCGGCACCCCCTGCTGCCCAAGGGGGGCACCCCAGCTCAGTACGGCAGCTTCTGCTGTCCCAGGGCATCCCAGCTCAGTGCGGCAACTTCTTTTGCCCCAAGGCACCCCAGCTCAGTGCGGCAATTTCTGTTGCCCCAGGGCGCCCCAGCTCAGCGCGGCAACTTCTTCTGCCCCAAGGCGCCCCAGCTCAGTGCGGCATCTTCTGATGTTCCGAGGCACCGCACCTCAGTGCGGCATCTTCTGCCGTCCGAAGACACCCAAGCTCAGCGCGGCATCTTCTGCCGTCCGAAGACACCCAAGCTCAGCGCGGCATCTTCTGCCCCAAGGCACCCTGGCTTAGTGCGGCAAGTTCTTCTGCCCCAAGGCACCCCAGCTCAGCGCGGCAGCGTCTGCTGCCCCAAGGCAACCCCAGCTGGGTGCGGCAGCTTCTGCTGCCCCAAGGCACCGCACCTCAGCGCGGCAAATTCTTCTGCCCCGAGACCCCCCCCCCCCACACCCCCCCCACCACCCCACTCTCCCCGCCCCCCCCCCCCCCCCCCCCCCCCCACCCCCCCCCCCCCCCCCCCCCCCACCCCCCCCCCCCCCCCCACCCCCCCCCCCCCACCCCCCCCCCCCTCCCACCCCCCCCCCCCCCCCCCCCCCCTCCCCCACCCCCCCCCCCCCCCCCCAACCCCCCCCCCCCCCCCCCAGCTCAGCGCGGCATCTTCTGCTGCCCCAAGGCACCCCAGCTCAGTGCGGCAATTTCTTCTGTCCCAAGGCGCCCCAGCTCAGCGCGGCAACGTCTGCTGCTCCATGGCTGCGGTTCAGACAACCGATTTTGTTAAACAAGAAAGCCATTGTAAACCAGACTTGTTCCAGCGCGAGCCGTATTCAAAATCATGGTTTTCCAACAATTCATGAATGCCCTTGCCGCCAAGTATAAAAACGATCGGTAAAGTAAAGAGCTTCACAGCAAGGCCACCAAGAGTGAACGGTGACGTCATAAGCACTTCAAACCAAGGCTCCCAAGAGCGAGCCGCAACGTAAACATCCCTGACAGCCACGGCCCCCGAGAGCGAGCGATGACGTAGCCCCACCGTTTACACTAAGGCTTCCAAGAACGACCCCAAAAGCGAAGGGCTCCATGTGGCGGAGGTGGATCCAATAATTCCGCTGCATTCAGGCTCGCGAGGAGCCTTGCTTCCAGGCGCTATCCAATATTGTTTACTTCTTGTACACACGAGATTGCCTACGACTTCTTGGATCGATAAGATTGCTTACGACTTCTTGGTATCCAGAAGAAAAGATGGTTTATTTCTTGTTTCGACAAGATTGCTTACGACTTCTACTTCCGAAAAGGTTGCTTACGGCTTCTACTTCTTGTGTCGACAATATTGCAAGGGGGTATTGCCACGACCCAGTATCGGAATAGCCTTCGCCCCCACCCGCAAGGAGAAGCCTAGATAAGGCCCCAAGAGGGGCCTTTGCCCGCACCCCAACAAAAAAACAAACACACAGCACAAAACCAACTGCCCGCGCCAAGAAGGCTCAGAGGTGGCCGGTCGCCCAGGCCCGAGAGGGCCCTTAGAATGCCCCAAGAGGGCCAAGAAGGCCCAGAGATGGCCCCTGGCAGTGGCCCAAGAGGGCTTAGAGAGGGCCTGGAGAGAGCCTGGAGAGGGCCAAGAAGGCCCAGAGAGGGCCACGAGGACCAAGAGGGCCCCAATATGGCTCCAAGAGGGCCAAGAAGGCCCAGAGAGGGCCAAGAGGCCCAATAGGCAGGGCCAAGAAGGCCGCTGGATCTTGGCAATGTTCCCTGGATGCGCGTAGCCAAGAATGGCGGAAGAGCTGGCATTGGCCCAGAGGGCGCTGAACGAGCTAACGCCCGGACTCCCAAAGGGGTGGGGGGTAACGATCTCTAGTGCGCGCAATCCTGGAATGTTGTTTTTCGCCCACGACGGCGGCGGAACGACGGCCCTGTTTCCACATGAGGATTGGCCAACGAATGTACCTGATTACTATCCTCAGCCAGAGTCTCTCAGCGTATCGCGTCCAAAGGCCCCAATGACACCAGCGCCGACGGGGATGGCTCCGAGTAAAAGGGGCCCTGGTACGCCCGTGGAGAAGCAAGGAGAGCCCGATACAAAGAAATCCCGTGAGTTTGCTCAGTCGCAGGACAGCATTCAGCCATCAGCAAAGGCGCAATTTCAGGGTATCGACGGGCCTCCAAGTCCACCAAGTCCAAGGCATGCTGGGATACTAAGCGCAGGCGCACCCGTACAAGAAGCGAAGGTGTCACCGTCGCCCTCGCCGCTATTTGCAGGGATTTCGAAGTAATTCGGGCCGCTATTTGTAGTGATTTCGAAGTCTTTCAGCGCGCCACCGCTATCTGCACGGGCGAGAGGCATGGTGCCAGCACCGCCGGCAGGCCCGCCCCCGATGCAGCCGCCCAAGATGCAGCAGCCAGCATTCCCGCGCCCGACAGAGCCCACGACTCCCAAGATGCACACGCCCCCGCTGGTTGCCAACCCGAGCGTCAGGACGGAGAACATCAGCCAGCAGGGCATCCTCGAGGGGGACATCAGCCAGCAGGGCATCAGCCTGCAGGGCAACGGCATGCGCGGCACGAGCGACATAGTAGACATGGGCAGCATGGGCATGGGCAACATGGGCATGGGCAGCATGGGCATGAGGAGCATGGGCATTGGCAGCACGGGCGTTGACATGGGCAGCATGGGCATGAGCAGCGGCATGGGCGGCATGAGCGGCTGCATCATGGGCCCCATGGGCGGCGTGGACATGAGCACGGGTAAGGGTGATGATCGTAGTGGTCGCACCTGGGACAAACAAGATTGGCGTGATGATGGTAGTGATCGCAGCTGGGACACGTCAGATCGCAACTGGGACAAAAAAGATTGGCGTGGTGGAGAAAGCTGGGACAAATCAGATTGGAAGAGCAGCAGCTGGAATACAGACAGTTGGGACAATACATAGTGGCGTTGATTTGCTTGGTTAACGTCTACAGTGGACATTGGGACACTGATTGTTATACAGTGAACATTGGGATGGTTATGATCCTACCGTATAGATACACAGTGGATATTGGGATGAGTATTGCTCATTTGATGAGATCATCAAAGTTGCGAGTAACATCAGCAGGTGGTTTAATTCCGTGCACTCTGTGCTGTTTGTGTCACTAACAGTTCCCTTGACCATGGCGCTATCAAAAAAAGATGCCATCCAGAAACGATGCCCATTCAGAAACGACGCCCAGCGAGTTGAACTGATCAGGTGCAAGCTTTGTGAGGCTATTGAAATGGTGCAATATATGCGGTGTGAGCTGCGTGGTGTAACCGATGTGATGCAGTCTATGTGGTAGGCGCTGGCGTCTTCATCTATGTGGTGCAATCAGTGCGGTGCAAACTATGAGAAATGCATGCGGGGACAGTTGAAGTACCGAATGAACCTTCTGAGCACCCACGAAATTATCGACTAAGGTTCCAGAACACCAGAGGTTCGGGGAGCCCCAGGAGCCCCTTAGATGTTGGCGCGACAACTAATTTGGCGAGAGCATATCCAACCATTCCCTTGCCAATGGTTACGAACACCTTAGGCAAAAACACACACACAAACAATATCGTGTCTAAACTGTTGGGGCTTTCGACCCAAGTTTCTGGCCTCTACCTCTTGACCCCCTGGGGGGGGGGGGGGGCCCTGGTACCGCGATCGATTGCGTTGTGCTAATTTCCAAGATGGGGAGGGAGGAGAAGGAGGGCAGGAGGAGAAGGTGGAGGAGAGGAGGGTTTTATCAGGATTCTGGAGCTCCGGCCACTCTCACATGTTAGGCATGGTTGCCTGCCCTCCCCTTGCATCGCAGTATCGGGCGCAGAACTCTGAAGCGAACCAGCCTTCTGCCAGACCCCTGCCCCTCTTGTGGAGTGTAATTCTCGGTGGGAATTGCGAGCGGCTCCGCGGCGAGCGGGTCTATGCTTGGTTCCATGCAGGAGCCTGAGCTGCCAGGCGTGATGGAGGCTCTCGAGTGCGCTGAAGAGCAAGCGCAGGTCGTGCCCAGGCGCCTCGGGAACAGGGTGCAGTTCGACAAGGCCTCAGCCGTCCTGAGTTGTGTGGATGTAGCTGGTGCGCATGGCTATGTCAAGCAGGAGCTCCGCGACGACTTTGGCGAGATTGCGAAGGCCGAGCCCTCCGTGGAGGAGCAGCAGCAGCTGGGACTTCAAGCCTCGTGGCCGAAGGGCGATAACCTCGCCGAGCAGGCGGCGGCGGCGAGGCTGGGGCTTGCTTCGTACAGCCATGGCTTCTACAGCAAGATCGCGAGCATGATGGCGCATGCGTCAGTCGTACCGCCCGCCGCGCCCCAGACGCCCGAGGAGGACATGGCCATGCCAGTGAGCGCCGAGGGCACGGGCGATGAGGCCGACGGCGACGGCGATCAGGACCGCGACCCTGGAGCCGAACAGCCAGGAGAAGAAGAGCCAAAGCAAGAGCCAGCAGACGACGGCGACAACGCATTGGCGCTCCAGAAGACCAAAGGTATCAACGACCTCTCCGTCGCGGCGCCCCTCCCGTCAGGGGGTTGCTACGGGGCGCTTTGCAGGATCAGGGGGCCATCGACGAGTATGTGGAGAAGTTGGCCGATGAGACTTGGCACGATAAGTTCGCGCTTGGCACCATGCACGCCTTGCACAGGCGTCTCGCCAGACACAGTCCGAATGTTGTGGGCAAAGCTAATTTCGACGTTCAATTGGCTTTTCACCAGTTGGACAGTAGTGAGAAAGGCCTGATTGCCTTCTACAAGGCGGTCAAGAATTGGCTGGAAAGTCATGAGGATGTCTTGTTGTGCGAGACGCTGGAGCCATGTGCGAGATTACTCCCTTACCTGATGAAGCAACAGGTCTGCATTTCAGAGGAGATCCGCATCGCCTTGATGTACGCCGTCTTCCATGGGCTTACGAATGACTTGCAGTCGATCCCTCGCGCCATCGAGACCTTCGACGAAACCATCTTCGAACTCCATTTGAAGATCAGGGGCGCTGTTCCCCGCGTTGTGGAGGAGGCCACTGTCTCGGTCAAAACGGAGAAGAAGGGCCCTGTCGAAGCAGAGAGCGATCGCGCTACGCCACCGTTCAAAAGAGCCAAGACCAGGAGGACTAGGCGAGCAACAGACGACATCCATGTGCGAGCACCTGTCGGCCAGACGCCAGTCTTCTACTTTTCGTACATGCTCTCGGAGGCCGCGAAGCAGTGGGTGTCCTCCGTGCCCGAGAAGGCCGTCGCCAACGCCGTGCAAGCTTACGACCTCATGGTGGAGTGCGAGTTGATCGGCAAGCAGTGGGCCTTGAAGGAGAAGCCGGTCGCGACTGGTATGGAGGACGATGCGTTCTCAGAGGCGTCACGGTGCCAAAGCGCAACGACCCAATCGTCAGATTTTTTTCGGTGTTCGGATTTTCGATCCGCCCTTTTTTTCGGGGTTCGGGTTTTCGGAGTTCGGATTTTCGACTTGGCCATTTCGGTGGTCCTCGGAGGGCCCTTGGCTGGCCACAATGCGCGGGTGGGTTGTGGATCTTTGACCTTAGACGCATTGAAGGGCAGCGTCGCGATTGCAAAGTGCATCAACCACGTCGAGAGCGCCAGGCCGCCCACACACGCCGCCAGACAGGCCAGGAGGATCACCCACGACTTTCTCAAACAAGCTCCCTCTCCAGCACCGGAACTCGCTCGCACGATGCAGGCGTATCCTTTGGGCAAGGCTTTCATGGAGGCCAGCCGCGTGCGCGTTCAGCAGTCCATCGAGGACGATACAGCGACAGGCCAATTCGATCGCGCATCGAAGGCCTTCCAGGAGGATTTCGCGGAGTCCTTCGAAGATCTTGCCGCATGGGTTGCCCAGGTGCGAACAGAATCACACCAGGTTGGCTACGCCAATATCAATGCACTTCTCAACCGCATGGGCCTCTTCTTCACCAGTGCGCACGGCTCGACCACGGCGTGGTTCGCGGCGGCGTGCCATACGAACCTGAAGTTCACTGCCGAGAACCTCGACAGCTGCATGGTATTGCTGGAGGTCGGGAAGTGCATGCTCGTTGACATCTTCTCGGGGCTCATCATCGACATGCCCCTTGGTTTCGGTGACGCACTCGTTTCTTTTTCCATGGCCACTGTCGGCGGTGACGCGGCGACGGCCCAGGCATTGGAGATCAACAAGCTGAAGGCCGACATCGAGGAGTTCACAAGCACAGCGAAGCTGTTCGAGGATAGCGTTGACGTCTTCAGGGCGCCCCTCAGCGACTTGCACGCCAGGTGGATGTGCTGCGCGAACATGCTCCACAAGCGCGTGATCGGCACGGTGTTTGAGCACATTTTCGAGGACTTCTTCAACCCTGGTAGTTTCGAGAACGGGCTCATTCGTATGACTAGTGTTCTGAAGAACATGGCGGAGTTCCCAAAGTTTTGCGCGAAGCTGGTGGAGATGAGAAAGATAGCTGCCCCGACAAGGGAGACGCACGAGAAGTTCACGAATGACATCGTCCAGTTAGCAGGCATGGTGAATTTCATGAAAGAGGATGATTTCGTGTTCGACGCCCCGAGCGCCGTGACTCGCGAGGAGATCGTCGAGGGCACCACTCGTACCTTCAAGGCGTTCGTCGAGGGTCCAGGCCCCGCGGTTTGATCTCCACTGGTGTGCTGATCTCGCCGCGACCCTCCCTCAGGTAGAGCACGCCGTCTCGGCTGCGCGCCGTGGGCAGCCACGGAGGGGCTACTCTACGGAGGGAGGGAAGGCGGCGAGAGGCACCATCTGTTCAGAGCAACCCGGCCCATCAAGGCATGAAGATCTACACCGAGCGCTCCGACATCTTCATTAGCGGTAAGATCGCAGAGATCGCTCCGAGCCCTCCTTTCAACATCGACGAGGTCAGCGAGAACGCGATTCGAGAAGTACCTGCGGGAGAAGTTTTCTTCAGGCGGGTCACCATCTTCGGCGGCGGCAGCATCGAGGATCTGTTTTTGGAGAACGTCAGCTGGGTGGGCGGACAGATCGAAGACGAAAAAGCTTTAGAGCAGGTCAGCTACAACGCTGCTTTGTCTGACTTGGCGCCATTCTTGCAGGCTGGAGTCGATCGTCTCATCGCGAGCCCAGGGGCGAGCATGAACGGCGAGGCGAAGGGCATGGGGCGCCCGTTGGCGACGACATACTTGGACATCGAGACGCAGGTCAAGGACTTGGTGGGTCGCGCGGCGCAGCATCGCAAGAACATGTTCCAGGCGAATCCCTTAGACGATACTACGTTATTCGGCCGCTGCGTGCGCACGCAGCGCATGATGCAGCGGATACTGCTTCGCCTCGATTCTCTCCTTCTGACTGACAAGTGCCACGCCTTCGAGAAGGCTGGGTTCATTTGCCGCCTCAACCCGCAGAGCGTGAGGCAGTGGATCAAATCTGCGGCAGTGTTTCCAGGGGCCACCAAAGCAATTCTCTTGGTGAAGATCTCGGCTGCTTTGCAAGCCAGCAACAAGCATTGCAAGAGCGCCCTTCCTGAGTTCGACGCGGCGTTCGACGGCTCAGGGAACTACAGCGAGAAGATCGGCGACACCCTTTTCAACAACATGACTGGAACTGTGAACGCCTACAACGCGCTCCACAAGACAGTATCGCGTGCGGCGCGGGCTGGCAAGCTCATAGACGTGAGCCGCCCGATCAAGGAGCCCGACACGACGGCAGAGGCCGCCGCGACAGCGCTCGCCCAGATGGCGAGCGGGCGCGGAGGAGGACGAGGAGAAGGGGGAGGGAGGAGGGAAGGGGAGGGGGAGGGAGGAGGAGAACAAGGAGGAGGAGAAGGAGGAGGAGGAGGAGGAGGACCTCTGGGTGGGTGGTTTAGAAGGGCGAGAAGGCGGAGGAGGAGGGAGGACGACGATCCAGAGGAGGATGGACGGACAAGGTGGAAGTTGAGGAGGATGGGCAGAGGTGGAGGAGGACATATGGCGATGACGAGGTGGAGGAGGAGGGTTGGGCTGGGGGTGGGAATGGCAATGAGAATGAGGAGACCGCGAGGAGGAGGAGGAGGAGGGGGAGGAGGAGGAGGAGGAGGAGGGATGAGGAGGAGGAGAAATGAGGAGGATGAGGATGAGGAGGAGGAGGGTGAGGAAAGAGGAGGAGCAGGATGCGAAGGGGGACGATGAGGGGGAGGAGGGTAAGGAGGGGGAGGTAGGAGGAGGAGGAGGAGAAGGAGGAGAAGGAGAAGGACGCTGATGAAGAGGAGGAGCGAGGATCGCGATGACGACGAGGGGCGAGGATGGGCATGGGGTGGGGGGGGGGGGGGAGGGGGGGGGGAGGGGGAGGAGGAGGAGGCGGAGGGCAATGAGGAATCTGAGGAGTTGGGGGCCTTCCAGGCGAAGGCGCAGCAAGTGGTGAGCATGATCAAGGGTGCGCAGCTGCTCCCGCCCTTGCGGACCGAGCCGAGTGGCCCGAAGCTGGCCCGCGAGTACCTCGCGGCGCACCGCGCCGAGAAGGCGGAAGACACCCCGAAGGGCTTCTGGGCCGAGTTCGACAGCATTGCCCAGGGGCAGCGGGCCCCCGCCGCCGAGGGGGGCAGCTCCGAGGGCGGCGGCAGCGCGGCGGGCTCCGCGCGCGGGGCGCCGCGGCCGAAGGCGCAGCAGGTGTCGGAGGGGGCGGCCTCCGCGACGAACGCGAGGAGGGGGCCTCGGCGGCGGAGGGCGACTCCCAGAAGCGCGCCTCCAGCGACAACTCCAGGGTCAAGCCCGGAGGCCTGAAGCGCGCGAAGCGCTCGTCGTGAGCGCACCTTGCGCTAGCGCGGAGGCTGAGCGGCTCAGCCACCGCGAGCAGCGATGATGATGATGTTGAGGAGGAGGAGGAGGAGAAGGAGGAGGAGGAGGAGGGGGAGGGGGGGGCGGAGGGGGGGGGGGGGGAGATGAGGGGGGGGAAAAGGTGGGGGAGGGGCGGGGGAATGAGGAGTAATATGGCGAGTAGGAGGAGGAAGAGGACGGAGGGGGAAGGGGGGGGGGGGGGAGAACGATGGGGGGAAGGGGGGGGGGGGGAGGAGGAGACGGGGGAGGAGGGGGGGGAGGAGGAAGAGGAGGAGGAGGAGGAGGGAGGAGAGGAGGAGGAGGAGAATGAAGGAGGATGAGGGGGAGGAGGAGGCAGGAAGGAGGGGGGGGGGGGCAGGAGGGAGAGGATGAGGATAGAAGGATGGAGGGCAGGACGGCTCAGCAGCCAGCTCGTGCCTTTTTGTTTCAGGAGGGGGTGTGAGAGGGCCACCCATCTGCGCCCCCCCCACCCCCCCCCCCAAGCGAGTCGAGCGTCGCCTTGGGGGGCCGCTGCGAGGGGGCGCGAGCGGCGCGGCGGAGGGGAAGGGATAGGTAGGCGGGGTGGGGAGGGATAGGGAGGGATAGGGCGGGGTAGGGAAGGATAAAGAGAGATAGGGAGAGATGGGGATGGATACGGAGGTATAGGGAGGGGCGGGGAGAGATAGGGAAGGACGGAGGGGTAGGGAGGGATAGGGAAGGATAGGGGGATGATGAGGAGGAGGGGGTCAATGATGATGGTGATGATGTTAATGCGCGCGCATAGTAAATGATGATGGCTGAACGGCTGCGGGGGAGACGGCCCCGAACATAACTTCATTGTGAAGTCTGTCCTGGCGAAATTTGCCGTCGCGTGCTTCCGTGGTCGCGCAGGGCCGTCGATGCGCTTCGGCGCGCGTCGGAAAGGGAGAGTTGCTTTGAAAAAGGGCCGACCAAGTGGCCCATGCGGCCGCGAGTTTCGTTCGTGAGTGTCCTCGACGATGTCTTGTTTTTGGTTGTGTCAATGGTGAGTGTCCTCGCCGATTCTCTCGCTTCCAGTTGCGTCGCCGCTGATCGTCTTGACTGCAGAAGTGCAAAACGAAGTGTCGCCGCTGATCGTCTTGACTTTCCGCCCCCCTGCAGTTCTGACCCCTCGGGCGCGCTCAGCTCCAGCCCGGTTGCTACGCGGACTGCCGCGCCGGCCGCTGGCCAAGCCAGTGGGTCGGGAGAAGCTCGAGAGTCCAGAGGCGCGTGCCCCGCCGCCCCAGACGGATGGGGAAACGCGCGAGGAACTCATCCCATCCCGATAGCATTGAACGGGCAGCCCGGCCCGGCCAAGATAGCGACGAACCACTTGACGGGGAGCACGAGATAAATTCTATGGAGGAAGATTTCGAATATGCCAACCAACGAGCATCGTTGAGCCGAGAGCTGTCCTCGATAATGGACGCGGACCACCCCGCCCCAGGCGAGAGGTGGCCCCTTGGGCAGGAAACCATGGACTTTGATCAAGTAGATGCCCTTGCGAATGCGTTCGAAGAACCAGATTCGGACATTGAGATAAGTGACCTGCCGCCCCAGGCGGTCGAGGTGAACGTTGAGCATCAAACCCAAGCGAAGCGCGATAGGGAGGCCACAGGACGGACTCCCGCGCCTCAACTGAAGAAGCAGAGGAATGAGGATTACGATTTGAACGATTCACCGCTTCAGGAAGGATTTTATCGTCCTGCCGTCGCCCCAGGCGATTGGCAACCTTTGATGCCTGCTGCGGTTGAGGATGACGAAATGATTGAAACCCCAGCTTCGCTCAATGAGTTGATGCGACAGGACGAGAGGGATGAGGAACTTCGAGAGGTGCCAAAGCCGCCAGAGAGTACGCACCTGCGTCCCAGATCGAATGCTGCGAGCCGAGGAAGGCTCAAGATACCCCGATCTGGAGCTCGATCCACATCGAGGAGCAACAGCGCGATATCTATGCGCGAAACATGCTGGCACTATGGCCCTAACTGTCCGCCCCAGGCGGAGAACAGGTGCCCGGGAAAAGCCCGCAAGCCTGAAGGGGCCGGTAGACGCCCCGCGTGTAGATATTGCTCCGACGCGTGTGCTAACTGTAGCAATCAATGGTTGTGCGCGGACTGCTTGCCGATGGGAGAGCACAACTGCACATGCATTCATCTCCAGGCGATGCAAGATCAGGCTAGATATGTTGAGGCCAAAACCCAGCAATAATTTCTGGCCCGCGACGCTCAGAGAGCAGAGAAAGCCCGACTGGATAGAGAAGAGACGCATGCAGTCGTTGTGGACTTACGGAAGACGTTCGAGGCTGAGAGACTCGCTATGGCCCAGGCGGTCAGAAAGCGAGAACAAGAACTGGTGGAACAGATGTCCTATCAGATCACGGCCGCCAAGCGGATCGTGGAAGAAGAAGCTGAGAACAGATATGCCGGGATGATGGCCTCCGAAAGACAGGCCGTCATGACGGCAAACAGTCGGTCTGTTGATGCCAGCGCAGTGTCCGCAGTTGTTGCAGTGGCAAGAATAGAAGGAGACAGGATCGCCACAGCTAGGGCAGTTCAAGAACATCAGGAACTCAAATAACAACTTCAAGCTGCCAGGCTGGAGGCGGCCAACACCCACATTGTAGCTGTGAAGATAGTTGATCAGAAAAATCAATATCGAGAAGAGCTCAAGTCACACGAGAACGCCAGAGCGTCTCCAATTGAGCGACAGCACGCGCCCACCGGCCAAGCCGGCTGGGACGAGCAGACGCCCATCGCCGGCGGCCCAGCCGTCCGGCGCAGCGCCCGTTCCGGCCCGGTCTGATTTGATGACCGGAGTGAGTGCGGCACCGTCAACGTTGCAGGCAAGGGCTGCACCGCAGCCGCAGCCTGCAAAACGGGGCGGTGAAGAGAGTTGCTCAATTTGTGGTAACCCGAAGGTAGGTGATTGCGCCAGTTGTGGACTGCCGAGTTGCAAGGATCACTTTGATGCGACGCGAAACGGCGTTCTACATGCACTCAAAAGAAGAGATTGCCGGCAGAACTGGAGAAGTATAATGAGCAATGGCGACAACGCAGTGCTAATCGCGAATTTCGGGCCCAACAGCAAAAGCTCCTTGATGAATGTAGCGCTGACAAGATAAATTGCCAACGAACGACGGAGCAGGCTGGAGAGCATATCAGACTGAGGTCAGAAAGGCCAGTTGCCAACATCCGATAGGGAGATGAGGCTCTGACTAACGTAGCTGCATCAGAGAAAGGATAGATGAAGCTCAAAGCTATCATCACAAAGTCATTTCCGTATCGCGAAAAGGGGCAGGAACGCGCGCCCACTTTAAAGTCATGTGATATGCTTTTGCTTTCACAAGAAACGCCTGTGAGGTCTGTTATGCGACCCAACTTTATTGTCCCCGGCCCTGCATTTGAAGGTCCAGCCAAGCCGAGTACCTCTGATACTGGCCTACCAATAAACATGAAGCTGACAGGTACCAATGAAGATGTTGGTTTTGTCAATTATCATCCATTCTCTAGGGGCGGACCTGTGCGACCGCCAGCGGCCATGCCGTCTGGCGGGGCGGGGCAGGGCAAAGATGGGGATGACGGGGGCGACGCGCCGAGCACTGAGATTATGTCGACGCGTAATGACGCTATCTGCGATCGGCCAGATAAGCCGCCTCCAGGGAGTCCGGGGTGACCGGGGCCCTCAGATGGTGGAGGCGGTCGTGGCGGACCCCAGGGCCCAGGAGGGCCACGTGACCCTGGGGCCTTGATGAGAGTGCCCTGTTGGACCAGTGGAGACAGGTTGGAAACAATCAGAAAGTTGAACTGAAGGACATTCCCGATGTTACAAACATACGGGAGTGGCAGATGCATGGGATCCGCGCGATCGTTGGACCATCTCCTGAGATCCAAGTTGCACAGCGAGTGATCACGGAAGCCATGAACCCTGCGGTAGACGATGAACAACTCAAAGACCCAGGTCGCTTCCAACGTCTTGACATAATGATCGCCGCAAGTTTGATTGAGAAGTTCAACAAGATGCGCAATAATCGCAACCTGCCCAGTCACCACTTAAATTTTCTTCAGCAAATCACTCGAATGGAGTACGCTGCTCAGAATCAAGAGAGACTTTTGACGGGACGTGAGATGGTACGAGCCATTTGCCACTGGTCTTCTGTTAGATCCGAGTTAGGCAAACATCGCATTTCGCGTGATATTTTCAAGGTAGTCATTGACCCTAACAAGCCGGACGCTGACCTGTATCATTTTTATCATGAGTGGACAGATGTTTACCAGCAGCTCTATGGCGCCCGACCTCCGTCCGATGAATTCATGCACACTTCATCGAGCAATGCAGGAAGCCTAAGAAGTTAGATTTCGTTTCTCAGCTCTATGACCTGTCCAAAGACAAATTGGGACAGGGTGTGAAATACTATGAATGGCTTATGGAGCAGATCGAAGGGATGATGTTGCGTGACAAAGAAGAGTGGAACATCAGCGTGCACGAAAGTATTTTGAATCAGCGTGCAAGACAAACGCGATTGGGCGGAGGTGGAGGCAATGGCTATGACAACCGACGGAATGCCAACGGCAAAGCCGCTTGGGAAACCCACGGATGTGATGAAGACTGGCTTGACTAAGGGCGAGACGACGTGCAAGTTTGCACGGGAAGGCCAAACCTGCCCGGACGCAGGTCAAGGATGCCTTTTCAATCATAAGAAGCCCAAAGCTGCCGCGCTGGCCCAGCCGGCTGCGGGGAACAAGTCGAACGCCGCTCGGGCTCAGAACAAGAATCCCAGAGGGAGATCTGAGAAACCTGAAGGCCGAGGCCGAAAGGGGCAGAGCCGATAACAGACTCCGGCGGGTGGCCGCGGAAAAGGATCGCAACGGCGGAACAGGAGTCAGTCCAACCGTTCGCGCGGGAAAGAGGGCACGCTACCATGCGATGCTTATTCGCGTGACCCCAAGAATTGCCGTGGAGCTGACGACGGATG